ATTCGCTCCGTTTCTTCTTTTATTATAAGTAATTCTTCGCGGCGTTTTCTTTTAAGTTATTATCGCTCTCATATCGGGTCTCGTAATCCGCATAGGGGACCGTCCCGCGAATCTCGTTGGTTTTTGTTATATTGCGCCGGATCTTTATTCTACGACTTATTGTTTACGGGTTTCTTTTATATCTTGCGATGAATTGTTATACGATGTACTTTTATTTTATTTTATTTTCGGAATATATTTTATTTTATTAATTTAAACCTAAGTCGTTCGATTTCGTTATTGTTCCGCTACTCTCTCTCCTGAACCTGCTGGCGATCCCTGCCACCCGTTCCGATACCGACGAGCTATACCGCGCATCAACAGCAGGTCGTTTTAAATTTAATAAATTAAAAATATAATACCATCAAAAAGAAGTGAAATCAAAATATTATTTCAAGTATATTTATTGTAATTGAATTAAAAACTAAAAAAAGTAATATATTTCGAAAAAAAATATTGTATCAAATTAAACAAATAAAATCCATGTTGTATTATTTTCAATGTATACGTAATATTATCTCCTACGTATACATGAATTTTCAAAAAAGTTTATTTAAAAAAATCAAAAATATAATACCACCAAAAAGAAGTGAAATCAAAATATTATTTCAAATATATTTATTGTAATTAAATTAAAAACTAAAAAAATAATATACCTCGAAAAAAATATTGTATCAAATTAAACAAATAAAATCCAAGTTGTATTAGTTTCAATGTATACGTAATAAATAAATAAAAGAAATGCAATAGATAGCGTAATGAGGGCTGCAGAAATTAAAAAGGGATTTCGACAACAAGTAGCATATGACACGTGCTGCTCTAGCAATAAAAAATATATATATATAACATATAGGTATTTTTAATATTATAATATATATAAAAAACGGGCGCGCCAAGTATGCTGCTGCTGGAGATTTCTTTCCATCTTTGATTTTTCTGTCACGTAATTTGCTACTTGTTATCGAAATCCCTTTTTAATTTCTGCAGCCCTCATTACGCTATCTATTGCATTTCTTGTTTTTATTTTTTACGTATTGTGACCGACTTTTCTATGAGTCGGACAACAAGATCGGCCGTTAACCGTCGCGACAGTCAGAGTGATTTGCAGTGATCTCACTAGCTCGGAATTACGCGGCAACTGAAAACGCAAAGTTGGGCGCCAGGCACGAGCGGGCGTGCCACCCTTCGAATTACGGCTCGGAATCAAAATCTCGAAACGCGTAGAACGTTCGGTATGCAACGACGCGAAAAGATTCGAACGCTCTAACTCCTGACTGCCACGCGGGGAAACGGTCCGATTGCCAGTGCTCAGCCCTCAAGTCGGCAGAGGGGCGGTTCGCGGGGCGTGGAGAAATGTGGAAGAGCAAGGGCGAGATCAAATACACATAGTTTTCGGTAACAAGTAACAAATATAATTTCGTGTGCTGGGATATACAAGCGTTTCTTCTGCCCGCGACTAACGCCGCGACAACCGTCGGTGTTCTCGTCGACGTCGAGATTCGCGCTTCCGGGGACACTCCCGAGGATGACTGGTGTACAAGCTCTTCGTGGTAAATTCTATTCGGACTCGCTAAATGTAAAGTCGCGACACGCGGGAGATACGCCACGCACGGCGTAATGGCGGATTCCACGCCACGTGGTATCGCGATATTCTCGACTCTGCCGAACTCTCGGCACGCTAACACGCAATGACTCAGATAAATTCGCAACGCACCAAGAACACAAAATGACACGCAAATGACGCACAAATGACTTGACTGTGGCAAGGCGAGCGCAACGGCAACTACTTAAATTCGCGTAACCTTTGCCGGGAGGACGGCGCGAGACACGGACTCGACT